ACTGGGCAAGATTTGGAAGTGTAAATGTAGTCCTATTATACAAGAATGAAGGTGTGCTGATGAACTACAGGTCAGTGTCCCTAACTTGCATACCATGGAATAGAATCTACCCATAGTAGGAACTTTCCTACTAGCATGTCAAGGATTTGGGAATAATGATGTCCAGCGACATAACGTTTAGGGAGCATAACAAAGCAAATATTGCCTCGGCCAGAAAAATGATACGATGGATTACGAGAACCTTCAAATAGAGATCCCATCACAATGGTTGTACTCGTCAAACCACTTTCGTTGTCCTGTCTTGAGTACTGCTCAGTAATTGCTTCCCCCTTCAGAGCAGGAGAGATTGCTGAAATAGAGGGAATACAGAGAACATGTATGGCACGCATAGAAGAGATAAAGCATCTAAATTATTGGGATAGTCTCGAAGCTCTCCAAATGTACTCGCTAGAAAGGAGACAAGAGAAATACCAAATAATATACACATGAAAAATACTAGAGGGCCAGGTCCCAAATCTACACAGTAAAATAACATACAGTAATACTGGAGTGAACGACATGCAAGAAAATGCAGAATAGAACCAGTGAAGAGCAAGGGTGCCATAGGTACAGAACAATGTATAAACATCAGGTCCACGGCTGTTCAACGTTCCTACCAGCGACTATTAGAAATATTGCCAGAACAACATTGGACATTTTCAAGAGAAAACTAGACTTTTCTCAAAGGAGTACCGAACCAGTCGGGCTGTGCTGGGTATGTGGGCCTGTGGGCTGCTCCAAGCAACACCCTGGTGGACCAAACTCTAAAAAAAAACACACAGGAGGGGGTAACAGGTAAGCTTCTAACATTTATGAAATTTTCTAATAGAAAAGTGAGGGCAGTAATTGGAGGCAATGTATTGGACTGGAGAAATGTCACAAGTGGAGTACCACAGGGTTCAGTTCTTGCACCAGTAATGTTCATTGTCTACATAAATGATCTACCAGTTGGTACAGTATACAGAATTATATGAACGTTTGCTGATGCTAAGATAATAGGGAAGATAAGAAACTTACATGATTGTCATGCCCTTCAAGAAGGGACCTGGAAAAAAAAGTATTTGTAGCACCACTTGACAAATGGAATTTAATGTTAATAAATGCCATGTTATGAAATGTGGCTTCGAACAGACTGCACAACCTATAAATTATGTGAGAAATCTTTAAAGAATTGATAGATCTAGGGAGTGGTTCTAGATAAAAAAAAACTATTGCTTGAGGATTGCATAAAGAACATTGTGCAAGGAACCCGTTACATTTTCTAACTTCAAAATTGCTATTAAATACATGGATGGAGAAATACTAAAATTGTTCACAACCTTTGTTAGGCCAAAGCTGGAATATGCAGCAGTTTGGTGCCCATATCTTAACCAGCGCATAAATTTGAAAAGGGGCAAAGACATGCCACTAAGTGGCTCCCAGAACTGAAGGACTAAAGCTACAAGGAGAGGTTAGATGCATTAAATATGCAAAAACTAAACATAGAAAAGGCGATATGAAGGGGGCCTGACAGCCAAGTGGACAGTGCTTCAGATTCATAATCCTGAGGTTCCGGGTTCAATCCCCAGTGGAGGCGGAAACAAATGGGCAGTTTTTTTCACCCTGATGCCCCTGTTACTTAGCAGTAAATGGGAACCTGGGAGTTAGGCAGCTGCTATGGGCTGCTTCCTGGGGTGTGTTACAAAGAGGCCTGGTCAAGGACTGGGCTGTAGGGATGCAAGCCCCAAAATCATCTCAAGATAGATCACTATGTAGAAAATGGTAAAAGGAATTGCCGAAATTGATAGGGAAGAATTCCTGAGACCTGGAACTTGAAGAACAAGAGGTCATAGATTTAAACTAACGAATCAAAAGCTGAAAATTCGCTCTTGTAAATAGTGGTAGATGGTTGACAAGTTAAGGTGGTGAAGGCCAAAACCATTGGTAATTTCAAAGCGTTATGACAAAGAATGCTGGGAAGATGGGACACCACGAGTGTAGCTCTCATCCTGTAACTACACTTTGGCAATTGAGGCATGAATCTTGGTACAGTATTCAAAGAATGCAACTGGACAAAGACAAAATGTTCAGCAAATCAAGGGGGGCCTAAATTGGAATGACCTTACTCGAGATTAAGAATTATACTTCAGCCCAGCTTGAGAAACTAAGAACTGCCTTATTCACTTATGTAACCAATTTTCCGAATGTCGTACTGTTTTCCTGTTACTGTGAATTTTGCTACTACATGAATGCTGTTAGTCTTGTTTGTATTGTGCCCTCCTTAAAAGCTGCATAAAGTTTGCCAGATTTCTTGAACAATGTTAGCTTATTATTCTCATAGAACCTTTAACCACTGTTATGCACAGAGTTTGACACATTCCCCTGTGCGTATAAAATAAAGCCCTTCCCTGAACATGTCTGTAAAAATGCCAAATTCCACTAGATGTGTGGATGTGGACAAGGTGCACTGTGACCTCATCAGAGGCTGGTCGCCTGTGCATGAAGCTCCCAGACACTGATGCCTGAGCCATACAAGCACTGCGAGTTGCCACAAATATATTTTCAATTATTTCTATATACAATGGGGCCTCGACTTAGGATGCTAATCTGTTCCCAGAGACGGATCGTAAGTCGAAGCGATTTTTCCCATAAGAATTAAAGGGAATTGAGTTAATCCGTTCCCCACCCTCCAAAATATTAACATACAAATACATTTAATAGTGAATACAATGTTTTTTTCTAACTACAATACAGTACCAAAGTGTCTTACCTTTATGGAGGGCTCTTGATGGTGTATGGAAGATGGTGATGAGGGGGGAGGAGGAGAGTTGTTACTGTTTGGAAGGGGAGTCCCCTTCCATTATCACATCAGTCAGTGATGTTTTCTCTGTGGTACTCTCCTACGTTTTGCCTGAATACCACTAGGACCTGGTTGTGGTTCAGTGCTTGTCTCGCTACAAATTTGTCAAGAGACATTTGTTTTTCCCTTCATTTTAACATTTGTCTAATGATGCATCAGTGTCATTGAATAGGTTAAGGCAACGACCTACTGCAGCTTGATTTGAGTCGTTTTGGCAAAGGTTTGCAATTCTTCCCATGCTGCACACATTTTCTTAATTGTTGAGGAAGAGACATTCTGTACTCTTGTTTCTGCTCTATGGTCATCCTTATATGGGTTTTAATATGTTGAGCCTTACCACTGACTTTCCTGGGACTCGTGGCGTGTTATATAATAATTACTATAATGTTCAAAATGCAAAAAATCACCACAAAAGTGGAATTTCTTAAAGGCGCGATCGTCACTAAGTGGGCAGCTGTAGTAAACTGAGGCAGGTTGGCCGCATGACTGGTAACCACGCGCTCGGTCGACCCGAACGTGTACCAACACATATTGGAAGTCGACGACACCATCGGATGTAGTCGCATTTTTCGATGAAATTTACATCGTAACTTGAAATTATCGTAAGTAGGGTAACTTCAAGAGTAGGGGGCAATCGTATGTCGAGGTGCCACTGTACGTATTTCATTTTTATACCAATGTGTTCGCAATATAATGTTCTAGAAGAACACGAGTATAAAATGTCACACAATGATGCGTTAGACCGGCACCAAATAAAAAACTACGTCTATTACACTTGTCAACAATACAATGGTCTTGCCTCGATGGTGCAATGCTATGCCGTTCTCCCAAATAAGCTATGCGGTTATTAGAAAAAACGGAAATTTTATGGCGGACATTTCAAACTATCCCAAAGTCGATCGCATGACAGTTTATAGAAATATTTTTTGTGACTCGTGAGCGAGTCTGCTGTGCGACCTCAACACAAAGTGGTAACGCTCTCGAGCGCCGTGATAATGCTAAAGTGTTAAGAAAATGTGTGAAGTATGGGAATTGCAAAGTTTTGTTGAAAAAACTCGCCCAGATAAAGCTGTAGCAGGCCGTTGCATTGACCTTTTAAATAACAATATAATGTCTTACTACAGACAAGTATTAAAATGTAAAGAAAGTCTTTTAGACAGATTCTTAGTAAGACAAGCAAGTCTTGGTGGTATGCAGGCAAAACGTGCCAGTGTGTGCACACCAGTGAAGTCCTCACTGCCTGATGTTATAATGGAAGGAGACTCCCTTTCCAAACAGTAACACCTCTTCTCCCTCCTCACCATCTTCTATATGCCAACAGCAGTCGTCAGCAAGTTAAGTAATAACTTGAACATAGTTTTGTAGGTTTATTTAGATGAATTAGATATAAAATTTAGTTTTAAATGATGTTTTTGGGTAGTCAGGAACGGATTAATTAATTTAACATTTCTTGTGGGGAAATTAGCTTCGGATTAAGAGTTTTCAGAATACGAGCAGTCTCCAGGAACGGATCAAACCGAGGTACCACTGTATATGCCTTGGGGAGTTTAAAGGTTAAACATTCATCCACTTGCCAGCCATTTGCAATGCGTGAATGACAACAAAACCAGAGCGCTGTGATGGTGCACCACTGCTGGGCGCGCCGCCTTAATGGTCTGATGCGGCAACACAAATCATGTCTAGAAATGTTTCACATTCTGTATAGCAGTTCTCTTGCTCAATAAACTAGACAGCTGATTTAGAGGTAAAAGTTGGGGTACAAAATCCACTTCTAACTCTTTCAATAAATGTATGATGAAATAAGGTTTTTTTTTTTTTCCCCCCACAAAATATCCTTGTAATATAGTGTTGCGTCCTATGAGAGTGCGGCTTTTACACCAAAAAATATGGCAACGGACAAATTACCTAGGAAGGCTGGCTTCCTGGGCAAAGGTAAAACTAAAAAAAAAAAGTTGTGGGGTAATTTATTAAAACTGGTTTAATGGCCACAGTTTTAAAATTTTTCTTAATCATTAAACAAACCAATAAGGCACTTGTCTGTGTAAAAAGGTCTTCAAATATTTCTAGTTTTATAAAATTTTATCTTCAAATATAAAGATGGTAAAAATTAAAATTCTTTCAGAGATGCTGCTACTGCTGCACTAAATCATTTTGCTCAAGGAAAGAGGCACTTGGTTGTTGGAGATATTCAGTCTGCTGTTAACTCTCTACAGGTACGTACGTGAGTCAGTTTTAGATGACAAACCTTGTAGTGTTGTATTAGCTTGAACACATTTTTAGCCTTGTGGAGTTTGGTCCAAGAACTCATTTTGCAAACCCTAAATTTAAAAGTGGCACATATTAGCAAAAGTTTACATCATAAGTCTTGGAAAAACATATTAAAACATGTATGTGCGATGGTAAATCTTGCCTAGGTTTGATTATTACTTTGCACTCTGTTGCCTTTAATTAATTTAAAATAGTTTGTAGAATAACTGAACAGGCAGTATTGTTGCCAAATTTTTAAGGTTTGGCAAAGATTATATAAAATTCACATTAAATAAAACTACTTAATAGATTGTCAGGCATTAACATTGTCCAGCCATCACATTTGGTAGATTACAGAAAAGAATTTACTTCGGTTTTTCCACTGACCACTGAAGCTGGTGCAAGTTGTCTTGACCACCACCAGTCATACTAGTCACCACTAGCAACATGGTGTTTACATGGCATCAATGTAAAGGTGTAATTAAAGGGGGCCTCATAGCCTGGTGGGTAGCGCGCAGGACTCGTAATTCTGTGGCGCGGGTTCGATTCCCGCACGAGGCAGAAACAAATGGGTAAAGTTTCTTTCACCCTAAATGCCCCTGTTACCTAGCAGTAAATAGGTACCTGGGTGTTAGTCAGCTGTCACGGGCTGCTTCCTGGGGGTGGAGGCCTGGTCGAGGACCGGGCCGCGGGGACACTAAAGCCCCGAAATCATCTCAAGATAACCTCAAGAAGATGCTTGTGGTGTCCCGTCTTCCCGGTACTTTGTCAAGTAACGCTTTGACACTACTGATTATTTTTGGCCTCCACCTTACTTGTTCCAACCGTCTAAAACGGTTTGCAAAAAAACTTTTCAAATATATTTTTTTGGCACCTTTGTTTCCTTAGCTTGAATGTGTCATCTTGCTCTTGAAGTTGCTGGTTCAGGAATTTGTTAATTTTGCAGATTCGTTATTTTGAAAGTGATCATATACTTTTTCTTCTAGTTTTAGCATGTTTAATGCTTCTAGCCTCTCCACAAGTCTAATTTTTCAGTTCTGGAAGCCATTTTGCACCATGCCTTTACACCATTTCCAGTTTACTGATGTGCTTCTTGACATATGGGGACCGTACAATTGATATTTGGTCCCAACAGCCCACTGGAACATTATCTAACAGAGTGCAGTTACAAACCCAATAAGATTTCAACTTTAACAGCTTCTGCTCTGTTGAATTTAACACATGGGACAAAATCTTACTGAAGTTACCATAAGTCATAAAGTAAAGTGCCTAAGTAAAACAGAAACAAGCAACACTTAGTGCGCCAGCCAGAGGCTTAGGGCCCATGCAGGAATTTCCCTGCCCCAAAAAAATCTGAACAGAAGTGTAACACAGAACAAAGTTGGAATGTGTGTACACTTGCCATGTGAAAAAGTTGAGATGTAAAAGTGCCAAAACAAGGCAATACCCTTGAATGTGTGTACACTTGCCACGAGGTGACCAGGGTTAGTCGTCCTCAGTGAGAATGTGTGTACACTTGCCACGAGGTGACCAGGGTTAGTCGTCCTTAGTGAGAATGTGTGTACACTTGCCACGAGGTGACCAGGGTTAGTCGTCCTCAGTGAGAATGTGTGTACACTTGCCACGAGGTGACCAGGGTTAGTCGTCCTCGGTGAGAATGTGTGTACACTTGCCACTAGGTGACCAGGGTTAGTCGTCCTCAGTGAGAATGTGTGTACACTTGCCACGAGGTGACCAGGGTTAGTCATCCTCGGTGAGAATATACAGTACTGTGAATTTATACTGTAATATGAAAATGTGAATCTAGAAATAAGTCAATAGAGGAAGCCAGGATACAGCCAATAAGTCATTAATGGTTTAAGAACAAAGTGGCGACAGGACACATCCCCCACCCAGAGACCTGAGGGGAAGGTTACGATCAACAAGTGATCATATCTTTGTCACTCCCAAAAGTGACTTGGGAGTAACTCCTCTACATACAAGTACCTGCACATAAGGGTTAAGCATATAAATTTAAATATATACATATACTGTAATATTAGAAATAATGAAGACTACTAAATACTGAAATACTAAGGACAACAAATAGGAAACTTGCACCTCCACACTGGTGGTGACTGACCTAAGGGAACAGCCAGGGAATAAAACCTCCTGCTAAACTCCAGGTTGCCATCAACAGTACTACAATATACCCTGGGACATACAGCTGGGTAGGATTTGAGGTGAAGGGAACGGTTGCCGGAACAACCGTAGACATCTTAGAGAACTAGATTTAAAAAAAAAAGTACCGAACCAACCAGGCTGTGTTGGGTATGTGCGTCTGTGGGCCGCTCCAAGCAACAGCCTGGTGGACCAAGCTCTCGCAATTCAAGCCTGGCCTTGGGCTGGGCTTGGGGGGGGAGTAGAAAAACTCCCAGAACCCCATCAAGCAGACAAATTAAATTGGTCTTGCATATTGAATGTTGTAAAACACCCACTTGCAATATTAGAAAAGTAAGAGCTTGGCATTTGTGCAAATATAAGACTGGCAACCCTATTCCAAGCGCACATCAAAACCAGGCAAAATGGTAGTAAACACGAATTTGCGGCCACTGTAATAAAATCTTGGTCAAAGGCAACAGGAATTGAATGTTGTGTATGTAGGAATAAATTTCATTCGGCTTGTACAGGAGTAACACCACGGGACTTGAGAGCTGGCCGTTTGCTCTGGGGTATATAAAATTGACCTGCGATCTTGGCATAACCTAAAAAAACTGCTATACACCATGACGCATGACCGGAAAACATCGTTCATTGAAAGCCTACTAACCATCCAGAAACTGAGAAACGAAAAATAATTCTAATAGACCAAGGTTGGAGACTAGTCAGGGAGGAAACCGAAGCAGAAACTCGGGAAGTTGTAAACTGATTCAGTATTCCTGGATGCAGACGACAGTAGACTAGAAAATGTAAGACGGCACTGATGGCTCGATAGGTAGACACTCCAACGGTCCCCAATAGTGAGTCGGACCAGTAGGACAGACCTATACAAATTTTATGTAAAAGGCATATATAGACGTAGATATGCTGGTAATGAGTATTAGACTGCAGTTACCACCATCCCCCAAAAATGTCATATGCTTAGGAAAGGCGTGTCTTTGGATCAACATGAAAGTTTTTCCATCCTGACATGGGCCTAACATCACTCGAGGCCACAATGCTATGACCTCAGCTGTCCATACTTTCACGTGAAAGGTACGGAATGCTACATAAAGTGGCAAGCAAAATATTGCGTTTCCTCCAAATTCATTAATTTTTTTACACAAAGCCAAAAGAGATTTCAAAAAAGGGGAACATGGAGAATGTATGGAACTTGATGCCAGACCAACTTGCATACCAGAATAGGATACAGTTACAAGCCAAAAAGAAACTACGACGGGGAACTGCCCAACAACAATCGGCACTGGTCAGAAAGAAGTCCACGCATAATGGACCTGCCAAAAAGTCTCCCAGTCAAACTATCCGAAATAGTAACCTCATTCATCTTTGCCAACGTACAAGGAGCTGAACCTCACGTCCCTGGAAAACAGAGTAAGGGAGACATAACTACCTACAAAATTCTCGGGGGAATTGATAGGGTGGACAAAGACTCTCTCCAGCATGGGTGGGACACGAATAAGGGATCACAGGTCGAAACTTAGTACAAAACTACAAAAGGAAAAAATAACCGAAATGCTTAAGCAGACATGACTTTCCCTATGAAGTAGGAATAATTTAAATGGGGTTTGAAGAAATAGAGTAGAAATTGAAATGCTTGTATCAGATTGAAAAAAAAGGTAGCTAGAACAGAAAGCAGTTCAGGAAATAAAGAAAAACCCAATATTTTTTCACGTGCAAAATCAGAAGCAAAAACCACTGAAAGTATTGGACCTATTTGTACGAGTGAAGGATCATACATAGAGGATAACAGAAATTGGCGAAATCCTAAAAAAGCAGTACGAGAACATGGTTGAACACTCAAATAAACAGCATGAATGTGGAAGATCTAGAAAACTTCTTTATGCCTGATATACAAACCCCTGTAAATATAACAGATTTCAACACGAGTGTGGCAGATTTAGAAAGAAATTGAAAACATGTCGATGCACTTAGCTCTGGGGCCAGATTCATGGCATTTAATATTTACAAAGAAATGCAAAGTGCCAGTAGCACAGGCACTCGGTTTAGTGTGGAGGAAGAGCTTGGACGCGGGAGATACCAGATCTGCTAAAAGCGGCAGACATAGCACCTATACACAAGAGAGCTAAGTATTGGCAAAGAATTTTAGATCAGTTGCACTAACGTCCCACATAATAAGTATTTGAGTGACTAGGAATCGAGTCACCAGTTGATACCTGGTTGATGGGGTTCTGGGAGCTCCACTCCCCAAGCCTGGCGAGTTTGGTCTACTAGAAAGTTGCTTGGAGTGGCCACCGGGACCAATGACCTTCAATCCAGGCCAACATGGATTTTGAGCGGGAAGATAGTGCCTCTCCCAGCTACTTGACCACTACGACAGTCACTGAGGCATTAGAAGAAACGGAATGCAGATGTGGTATACACAGACTTCGCAAATGCATTTGATAAATGTGACCATGAAGTGATGACACACAATGGTCAATGGGAATAACCGGTAAAGTAGGACGCTGTATACTGTTTTGTTGAACAGAAGAGTAAGTCGACTGTATAAAATAGTCAAAGTGCAGTTAAAACTTCTGTACAGCAGGGTACAGTCCTTGCACCCCTGCTTTTCTTTATTATCATATCAGATATAGACAAGTACAGCTTTGTATCATCATTTGCAGATGACACAAATATTTATGAAAATTACTTCTGAAGACATTGGAAAAACTTCAAGCAAATAATAATAGTTTTAGACGTGCAACAGAATAACATGTTTAAGTGATAAATTCCAGGTACTCAGGAATGGTAAAAATGGACCTCAAATATAATACAGGGTACAAAACACAATCAAATGTGCCCAGAGTAGGAAAGCAGCATGTAAAGGATTTGGGAATAATGTCTGACCTAATGTTTAGGGAGCATAACAAAGTAAATATTGCATCAGCCAGAAAAATGATAGGATGGATTACGAGAACTTTCAAATCCAGGGATCCCATCACAATGGTTGTACTATACAAATCACTTGTACTGTCCCATCTTGAGTACTGCTCAGTACTTGGTCCCCCCCCCCCCCCCCCCCCCCTTCAGAGCAGGAGAGATTGCTGAAATAGAGGGAATACAGAGAACATATGGCATACATAGACACAATAAAGCACCTAAATTATTGGGATCATCTCAAAGCTCTCCAAATGTACTCACTAGAAAGGAGAAGAGATCAAATATACACATGGAAGATACTGGAGGGCCAGGTCCCAAATGTACACAGTAAAGAGTTATGAACGTTAAGAAAATGCAGAATAGAACCAGTGAAGAGCAGTGGTGCCAAAGGCACAGTCAGAGAACACTGAAAACAAACGAGGTCCACGTTTGTTAAACATCCTCTCAGCGAGTAAAAGAAATATTGTTGGAACAACCATGGACATCTTGGAGAGAGCTAGATAATTCTCAGTGCTGGACCAACCGGGTTGTGGTGGATAATGGGCCTGAGGGCCACTCCAAGCAAGAGCCTAGTGGACCGAACTCTCAAAAGTCGAGCCTGGTCTCGGGGCAGGGCTTGTGGAGTAGAAAAACTCCCAGAACCCCATCAAGCAGGATGCATGTTCCATTTTTGGTCTCGCATGTCATGAACAGTTTCTTCAGTTTTTTACCATCCATGTAATTAAGTCTGAAATTGGAAAGCAATACAATGTTCGTTGTTCCTTTGGTTACAGTTTGCTATCCAAAACCACTCCTAGATCTTTCTTTATTTTTTAGTTCCTTTCCAGATAATTTATAAGTTGTGTAGTCTATTTTCTCAGACTCCACATTCCATAACATGACATTTATTCTCTGAATTTGTTTGGCACATGTTGCTCAAAGCACTAACTATATCTAAATCCATTTGAAGGCCATGCCAATTCTCTATCTTCTCCAGTATCTTTGCATCATCTGCAAACATGTTCATAAAATTGTTCCTACTGGTAGATCGTTTATATAAGAGTAACATTACTGGTGCAAGAACTGAACCTTGTGTTACTCGGCTAGTAATATTCCTCCAGTCAGATACATTGCCTCTGATTACTGCCCTCATCTATAAAACTTTTTCATCCATGCCAGAAGTCTCCGTCATCCCTCCAGCATGTTTTTCCAAAACATCTTGTGGCAATGTCAAGCCTTTTTTAGGTCCAGATACAGTCAACCTAATCATCTTTCCTGTAGAATCTGTAGCTCTTAAATTAAAACTTACCTTGAACTCGAGGTTATATTGAGGCTGTCTTTTTGATTTTGGGCCTTGACGTCCCCACGACAAAGTCCTTGACCAGGCTTTTTTTTTTTCTCTCTCTCTCTCTCTCTCTCTCGCTGCATCACAGGAATTTTATTTTAAAAGGTGCGGAGTGCAGGGGGTTAATTGGTTTTAATGACTGGTGAGCTGAGAGGGGGAATAAGAGTACAGGCTGGCTTGGCTCTTCACACTGGTGCCCTTCCATAATCTTTATACAGTAATTGATATTGTTGTGCTGTTCCTCTTCAGTGTGGACTGTGTTCAGATTAAAATTATATACCAGGTTTCATAATAAATTTTGTATTTCAGGAAGCGTGTAGATATCTCGCAGAAGAATATGGAGAGACTGCTCCAGAATGTGGGGATGCCTATTTCCACTATGGCAAAGCCTTGTTGGAAATGGCTCGTATAGAGAGTGGAGTATTGGGAAATGCCTTGGATGGAGGTAAGAATAAGTTTATGCCAGAAAACAAAAGAAATACAAATCTAAACTTTACTCTTTAATTGAGGTGTGTAATGTGGTTAAGTGGCCATTTTCATCCTGATTTTTCAGTTCCTGTAGGTGAGGACATGGATAATTCCCAGGTAGAGAGTGCAGAGAAAGCGACAGGTAAATAGTGCGTGTAATCTTTACCTCCTTAATTTTGTGCATTTACTGTTAAAAGTTTTACTTGTTGACCATTTCCCAGTGGGAAGTGGACTGTTATTCTCAGGATTAAAGTTAACCGTTGTTATTTACCCTTAAAGAGCAGCTATCATAAAAATTTACATCTTTTGTTAATGTTTTAAATAATTTGCATGATAAAAAAAAAAAGCTTCAGATTTTGTGAAGAGGGAGTGGTAGGGAAAGGGGTTGTGGTTTGAGTCCCCATAAAAATGGGTAGCTTGCTGGCTTATGTTTCAAGGGTGAACAAGTGTTGGTTAAGTTTCTAGTTTCACTTTACAAGTTTAATAACACGTACACGGTTCTGCGAGCCGTGTATTGCGCTATAATGCAATATTTATGCTTAATATTGCATGATGATAAACCATTTCCTGGCACAGCTGGAAGGGAGCTGTTTTGCAAACCACCATTGCTACTGCTCTGTGGTAAAAATGACGGAACACTAGATCACTTGCCACTAGTACCTAGTCACATAGTGAGCAAACAAGTGATGAAATGTTCAATGGGACGCTGTTGTTACTTGTAGTATCATAACCATATTTAAGTTTGTATAAAAGCCTGGGCAATATTTTCCAAAATTGGCAGTAACTGCTCTTTAAGGATTAACTAATGTTAGCAATACAAAAATTGCTCTTGATTATAACTCTAGCAGTGACTATGCATAAAATTAGCAAAGGGGGGTTAAAAATGATATAAGTGCAATAAAGAGTAGTTAGACAACTTTTAAACCTTGCAGAAAGTGATCTTGCCTAATCTCTTATTTAGAGGAGGAGTGGGAGATGGTTTCCAAAGATGTTGGTGAAGCTTTGGAAGAGAACTACAAAGATATTGAGAAAAATGTGAAGACTGTAAATGAGAAATTGGGAAAGAAAGCTATGGCTGAAAGTTCAAAGGGAGCTCATGCATTAAATGGGGATGGTTCAGAGGATGAAGGCATAGAAAATCCTAGTAGAGATGTCAGTGATGAGAGTTCTGATGCCGGAGGAGTAGGGAAGTTGGAGGTGGATGAATGCGAGGAAAAGTCCCAATTAGAATTATCGAGCACTCTTGGCAAGGATAATGTGACCAGTGGAGGCCAGATGGAAACTGAAACCGAAGAGAGCCTCCAAAAGAGTGATAAGGAAGACAAACAAAAAATTAAATTGGATAAGGGAAAACAGAAGGGACCAGATGGGAGCTCCGAGGAAGCAAAGATGGTAAAGGCTGAGAAGGAAAATGACAGCAAAGAGGCAGTGAATGAGAGTAAGATTGATAAAATAGTTTATTTAAAAATAAAATTTAAATTGGAACTGGCCTTCGTATTCTGGTTTCCTCTTTTCACTTTTCTAAAATTTCCACATTTGTAGTTAAAGGTTGTAATAAGTGATGACTTGATCATTTCTTGCTTGGTATTGTGACATTAGATGGTAAAGTCTACAGTTTTCCTTTGTCTGCTCTTGGGTAGACTTCCTCCAAGCTTTGTAATTAGTGCTATTAATTATCCAGACTAACACATTCCTGATGTGGGTCAAGTTCGTAAAGTTTTGTCTTGTATTGGAAATGCCAAAAAAATGGCAATTTATGGCAACTCTAAATAGGGTCAGAATTATTGTTTATTCAGATAAACAATATTTGAGATGAGAAAATTGAACGATTTGGCAAATGAAGTGGAGGCTATGAAATTCTAACTTACTTTTTTAGAAGTTAGGTATGGATTCTTAGACTTGAAGCTTTTGTATTGGATGCATCAAAGCTCATAAAGTACTAGGCACCTAAACTGCTGAAGTCAGTTGTAGCGGCTTCAGTAAAAACCTGTACAGTCACTTGTAAACTTTTAACTTTCGCTGCCCTGAGAGGCGAGCCGCCACGCACCTCAAGGTCAGCACAGTGGTGCACGTGAGCTTCCCACCTCCCACAAATGTTTACCCTCTAGTTTTCCGACCTCAATTTTTGTGCTACATTGTTCAATCTAGTATCATTACTTGCAATAGAATGCTGTAAAGGGATATTTGCATATATGAGCGTCTTGCTTTTCTATACTTTCAACGTAAACTCGATAATTTTCTCTTGCATTTTTCTTTCAATGCTTTAATTATGGATTGGCTCCGTCTTTGATCAGTATCCATCCAAGTCAATTTGCTGTGTCTATAAAGCCGGTAACAACAAATGCCCGAGACAAAATAACCGCAATGGGAAAACTTTGACTCTAGGGGAAGCCGCTGCTGTCGTGAGCGAGGTCACGAATAGCGCCTACAGCGTGGGTGGGTGTCCACACGGCGGGATCGGGATGCTACGTGAGGTAGAAAATGGGTAGAAGTTAGTGCTCATTTTAGTCTCATAGTACTCGGGACAATAAATGGAATTGCAAATTTTGTAATTATTGACGCCGTTTGCATTGTGCTGCATACTCTGTATTTTGGTTTCATGACAGTTGGGCAGTGGAAGTGTTAGGTGAAGTGTAGGGACACAGCTAGTCGCATCAAAGTTGGTAGATAAATTTGTAGTGGCAGTAGTAACAAATAAGTTTACCATAGAATACTAGTCTTTCTAGCCTAATAGTTGATAGGATATTGCAGACAATGCATTTGCTTTGACCCATTCCATTTTGTTGGTATTTTGTAGAGTAGACTACTAATTTTAGGTGATTAAGTTGTCAAACTAACTTGTATCTGTACTTGTTTTTGTATCATTTAATGTGCATTAAAGCTTGCATGTATGGCTTTATCATGAATTTTTAAGGGTAAATTGATATGATATTTTGCAGAAGAGGGAAGTACAGAGGATGATGAAGAGGAAGACGAAGATGGTGACTCGCAGGAAGGGGAGTCTCAAGATGGTGACTCTCAAGATGAAGGCAGTAGCAAAGAGGAGACTAAAGAAGATAACGATGAAAGTAAAAGTAATGACGAAGAAGGTAATTCTTTTAGATAGACATTAAGCAGTACTGTAATATCCTTGTCACCATGAGGGGCCTCACAGCTGAGTGGACAGCGCTTCGGATTTATTCTTAGTCCTGAGGTTCCGGGTTCGCTCCCCGGTGGAGGCAGAAACAAATGGGCAGAGTTTTTCAACCTGATGCTCCTGTTCACCTAGTAGTTAATAGGTACCTGGAAGTTACAGCTGTTACGGGCTGCTTCCTGGGGGGAGGGGGGTGTAACAAAAAGGCCTGGTCAAGGACCGGGCTGTGGGGACGCTAAGCCCCGAAATTGTCTAGCGATAACCTCAATGGTGAGCAGCATGTTTTAAGATTTTAAGGGCACATTGAATAAAAATGGAAATGATTCAATCTATTATGGCTTCATTAGTGTAGTAATTTAACTTATAAATGTGGAAGATGAATACTGTAATTTGTAGCAAAGTTTTCAGTTGCTCACCTTTGCTCACCATACTGACATGGAATTTTTTTTAACCAGATACTAACTGGCCTTGATAAGCTTCCTTTGGTCTCTGGCTGGACCCTAGTGTAAACGAATGTTGGAATTCTCTAGTCTAAAATGGTGCATTGAAATAATAAGTTTTTAAAACTGTTGTATCTTAAGGGTTGTATAACATAAGTTTATGCCATTTAAAATGCAGTTGGTAGCACGAGATTAGTTTAGTTGGAGGTATTATTGGTTTAAAGGAATGTTTTGGTGAATAAATTGTGGAAGGAAATTAAAAGGTGATTGGCAAGACTATTTGGTGGATTAAACATTGTAAATATTGCTTTAAATATCCAAATTATTCTTGAAACTTAAATTTTTAAAAATGTGCTCAGTACATGAATTTTAATTACCAAGAGGTCAGCTATTGACCCGTGTTGTATTAGGAAGCATTTGTCTTTAAATGTTAGAATTGGAGAACCTATTGCAAGCCTTCTGTTCAATGAGGCTATATTTTCAATATGGCCCATTGTACTATGCCTTCTGGTCTCGTAAAAGTTAATAATACAGGTATGGAACCAGTTCCTGTAGTTTCCAGGTGTAAATTATGGTTCAGCTGTGCTCCTGGAAGTGCAATTAGAGGGTTTTTGAGCAGTTCAATTATTGAATAATTCATTGTTGGGACAGGCAGCCAGTGTATTCATACACATTAGGCTTATATTGTAGCCACATCCCCCCCCCCCCCCCTCTTCTTATACACAAAGGTCGAATTGCTGATCCCGTCCAGGATGCAAACCCACAATAAGCTGACTACTCCAGAGTACCTATTTACTGCTAGGTGAATAGGTACATTAGGCAAAAGACATGTACCCAACTATTTGTCCCGCCCAGAATTCTCAATTATGCGTTGAGAATGGCCCTTTAATGTTGAATGGATTTGGGCATTAAAAGTTCTCTCCACATTCACCTGGTTAGCAACTTTTCCAATTTTGACCAAGTTAGTGTAAATAATTTCTGCCCTAAATGGTACTTGCATCTTTAAGTACCATACTATAACTACTCTCCATCATAACCATACCCAATGCTGCCCTTTATATAAAATGTACAGACTCCCACAAAATTACCCTTTTAAATGTAGTGTACTAACTACTACTGTATGTAGGATATTGGAGCTGGCTCGTGGAGTTCATTCATCTCGAAAGTTGTGCCAAGACGAGCAATTGCAATGTGTTGGAAATTAAAATGATCTTGAACCAATGGTGGAAACCGTGATTGAGAAGTAAAACATGGTAGAGACGAGGTATAATTGCACCAGGTACAATAGCTAAAGCAGGGTGATGACCTGGATCGTGCCCCACACACGAGCATTTCCCATATCCAACATGGGGCATGGTGATTGTTAATGCAAGGGGGGGGGGGTAAAAGATTATATCAGGGTTGTAATTGCTACGATCTTTTGGATATGACAAGTTTTTCTCAACTTAAAATTCATTTAGGGGAGAAGACTGAAGAAGATGAAGAGGAAGTGTCAAACTTGCAGCTGGCCTGGGAAATGCTGGAGCTATCTAAAATTATTTTCCAAAAGTAAGTTCTTTGAAAGTTCATTTAAGGTTTGACAATGCTGTATTTGCATGATAGAAAATCCACAAGAGCCGTGATGAAGATTTAAACCTATGCACTGGGTTTTCCTAGATACACGCTGTAGTCGAATATGCCTCGACATGGTAAAAGGATGGGTTTTTAGGAAAGGTAATCTTCTACCGTGTCAAGGCGTAGTAGACTACAGCGTGTATCTAGAAAACCCCAGTGCTTAGGGTTGGAATCCTTGTCATGGCTTATGTAGATTTTTTGATATATCAAGATTGGGATTTGTGTAATGTTATTAAAGGCAAGGTTGTTTACTAATAATTTAAATGCAATATTTAGTAAGATGTACATTAATTTTTCTAGTCATAAGGAAATTTGTAGATTAAATTCATGATTGTTTAATGTATAGGTAGAAAATTGTACAAATCTAGTGGTTCTAGAATACTTAAATACCTTTGTACAGTAGAAATGTCGAGTGCTCCACATTGACTTGCTAAGTGCCACCCGGGTTAGAGGTGGTTACTGTAATGACAGCTTTGGTTAAGGGGGTGAGACCCTGATGTGCTCAACCTTCCTCACACTCTTGTCACGCAGCATCCACATGGTCAGTGCTCCAACATTTCCTAATGGATCAATCTCCAACATGAACAGGAAAATAGGGGGGGGGGGTTTAAAAAAAAAGTGAATATTGCAAAAATTTAAATTGTGATGACAAAAAAACATTACCAATTGGTATTTAATTCGTGAGCTCAGAACGGCATATAAAGTTCATTTTCATAGTGTTTGAGAGTATAGTTTACCGTGAAAGTCGGTGACCTTCAAAATATGCCATTTTTTAGACGAAAAAATTTATAACTCCCAAAGTTATGGGTTCATGAATAAACGACCCAAATGAAACCTTAGAGCTAAACTTTGCACGTGTAAAAATGGTGAGAATTGGTCGGAAGCTGGATTTTTCTTTCTCAAAGTTGAAAGTAAAGTTTGAGATAATTGAAGTCGGTTATTGACAACAACTGTGGTTGTTGAAACTTGTGAATCTTCTTGTATGTTTTAATAAACATTGCTTGGCATTTGTTCTCGAATGTGAAGGTTGTAGATTGTTTTAAAATGAAGTAAAGAAAAAATCCCCCCCCCCCCCCCATAATAGGGATAAGGATAATGGGTTAATAAGGATAATAAGTATACTTTATACAAGTGATAAGTCCCACATCTATTCCTCATTCATCAATACAACCTAAAGAGACAAAGATAATAGTTTGAAATGGAGCGTAATAACTTAATAATTGTTTGTGTGTTACTTGGCAACGGTAGACGTGGGCTGCATATCCACCATTTGGACCCTCCGTACTATTCTTCTTTGTGCATCACAGGTGTTTGCATCTCTTACTGCATTATTTTTCAGTTCCAGTTTATAGCCGTTCTTTATTAACGAAATGGTTTTTATTGTTAAATATTCATATAAAATCCATTTTTTAACATTGGCATCAGCATTGTGAAAGTGTCATACCAAATAATTGGAGTTTTGTTTACATTTTTAGTAATTTTCATATAATTTGAATATTTTTAAGTCTTGCACCCTTAAGGGGCCATAATTTTCAAATGTGCAATAAATGAAAACTAGTTCGATTTCAACCTTTTTTAACGTAGTGTATGAAAAGGGCTTCATCTGGTCAGTCTCGGCATTGGAGCATAAATAGGGAGTAAAAAAATTGTCAAATTTTTCAAAATGTTAAAAAATTATCAAACAAAAGTGTCAACTGAAATGTCTGACTCGGCTATCACAACAACAAATAATAGTTTTATCCCATTTTTTTTTTTATTGGACGATTTGCATGAAACTTGTACACCTGACTGCAAGTAAGCCTATCTGTAAGGGTGCCAATTTTGGAGGAAATTGGTTGTCACTCGGCCACAGATGGCAGCACCTTAGACTTCATTTTTATTTTTTAATTTCTTTTAAAGTGACATAAACGTAACATTCATTTTTTTATTAAATTTACATGAAACTTACCTTGTATGTAGTGTTTCTCTACAATCTGTAAGAAGCATATTTTCCTTAGTTCATTTATTGATTTTATAAATAGTAATCAACATGATGCATTTGCATAATTTTTGGGGGAACTTTTACTATTTGTATTAGTAAAACTAAACATATTTTGGAAAATCCAGTCATACAGATTCTTTATTATATGCTAATGTAATGATATCATAGAAATGATTTCATTTGAAACTTGTGGTTGTAGAGGCTTATTGAACATGTCAAATTTGTTGAAAACGGCCAACAAAATTCTGCCTTTCTATTTAGGGTGTGATACTGGAACTGGGAACATTTGGAGCCCTTTTAATATACAACTAGTCAAAGTTTGGTTGACATTGAAAACTAATAATAAACTAAATTATGCCCCCTTAATTAACACTTTCGCTCGGGGATGACGCAGCATTGCGTCATCCGTTTACTGGCGGTAATGCCGGGGATGACGCAGCATTGCGTCATCCACTTTAAAAATTCGCCAAAAATCAGGTTTTTATCCGATTTTTTGGGGACTGTTTTAAAATGTGCGCCGATGTCTTCCCATTTTCTTTGTTGAGCCTCGTCGCCCTCAGGCTGCTTGGCACACGCCGTGGGCCCATTGTCTTTGCTCCACTGTTGTGACCAATGTCGCTTCCCCTCGCATCTCAAACGTGTGAACATTTCGGCTATTTTCCGTGGCTATATTTCTTACTGCGGCTTTAGAAACTATCTACGCTTACTCCACGATGGATAGTAATCATGAACAAGGCCCTTCCAGGAAGAAAATTGCGAAAGAAAGGCTTGAAAAGGGTAGGAATTGGGAGTGTAGCAGGAAGGCCTCTGAGCACTCACTCACGGCTAACACGTGGCCCGTCTTCAACTCGTCGGCGGTTGGAGCGTGACCAGGTTTTTTTTTTTATAGGCTAATGTTCCTCTAGAGAATTTTATTACGAACCCATTGAGACCAAAATGAAAGACCTAGGACAAAAATTGAGGTGACCAGAGTGAAAATAGTGAAAACATTTTATCCCGTTTGCGCGCTCCCGGGTAACTCGTTCGCACTTTCTCTGTTTGCTGCGGGTAATTAGCCGGGCTTTTGGAGTTTATATGCATTTAGTGCTGTAGAGAATTTTATTGCGAACACAATGATACCAAATTTAATCTCGTAGAAGGAGAATTGAGGTGACAAAGTTGAAGAGAGTATACACTTTTCGGAATTAACGCACGCTTCCGTGACACTCTGGGGCCCATATCGCCCTGTCGAGGGGTGGCGCGCGGGGTGAGCGAAAGTGTTAAGAATGACGACACTAGGAACATGGCTAGTCAACCATGTTCAAGGTTAAGAGTATTGTGTGAATGAAACATTGGGTATGGTACAATAGTATACAATCAAAGATGCATTAGTGGTATCTTAAGAGACTGGCTGCACTGCCATTGCTTCTGTTCCTATGACCCTTCCTCGTGATGCTATGCCTCATAATGGGTTGTACTACGGCCATTTGTCCACTTCGCCATTTGATTTGTCCCCACCGAGAGCTTGTATGTTGACACTAGCATACTTTCTCCAGGATTGATAGTTCCTTTGCTACCTTGTGGTTCTACTTGTGCTGTGGTTTGATGCTTCAGGAAGGCCCTGGTCCCTTGCTACCTACCTTTTCCTGCAAGTATGGTCTGTTTGCAGAATCCTTGTGGTTCACATTTGCAATACCCCCATTCCCCATTAATGGTTGTCTCACTAGTGAAAAAATTGACCCACTTAAAGGGTTTTACACACTTCTGTTATAAAATGAGTTTTCCCATAACATTTGATTTACTTGCTACATTGCTATCTTTTTTCTCCTGATCAAACCTATGTAATACTTGCCTCCAGGGATCAGGATCTTCATGGCAGAAATTTTGTATGTTCAGTCAGGTGCCTTGCCTCCCCCCCCCCCCCCCCCCTTTTTTTTTTTCTCTCTCCTCTTCTTGCTGTTCCTTTGTCACAGGTACTCTGGGTGTTCCCCTAATGGCTTCTTGTCTTTTAACTGTTTGCAGCCAGTAATCTAAATATTGGCTCTTAATCTCCAGCAGACTTGACTTGTATTGCATTTTACTGGGTGCCCATCTATATTAGTTGCCTCATGAACTTGCAGATGATGCCACTAAGGAAGGCATTCATACTTGTTAAATTTCCTGGAAAGTTGTATGCATGTGTGGTCATTGTGACCATTGGTGGTCTGACATTAAGTTACAGTGCACTCTTGATGAGGTCTCCTTAACCATTCTTCTTGTGTAATAGATTATGGGAATACACAAAATGGTTTGGACCTGAAAGATAAAATGCCCTGCTCTGTATTGGACAACTGTGCAGCAGGTTGCCAACAGCTGGACTTGGTCACAGGTGTGGCTGGTGGCTGAGTATAATATGGCAGCTGCTGGTTATACGCTGGTTTGAGCGAGAAAGTGGTGGCTTCCTCTTGCACTAAAGGCACTTTACACTTAGTCTGTGGTGGCCCTTCTGGTTTACAGTTTGCTGAACACTTTCTCAACTATACAGATTAATTATAGAACATGATCAGTGGTACTGTCCTGTAGTTTCTAATGTACCTTGATATATTCTAGGTTTTGGTATAGTATTGATACTTTGTGCATCTGTTGCAATCGGTGCACATCAGAGGTAAATTTCCCTACTTCAGTGCACTTGCATATGCTGTGATGTTCCACTTGAAGTTGACTAGGAAATGGAGACCATTCTTTGAGAAATGCATTCAGCTTCCTGATTAACTTGTCAGAACAAGAACTACTTGTATCTTGTCCTAAATCTTTTTAAAATTAATCTTATTTTGCCCACCTTGTTCACATACAATGTTTGGCTGCATATACAGGTTTATTTTATTACACCTCCTTTTTCCCTGCCTGAATTTGGCATACTTTTTAACAAATTTGGTGGGCTAACATTCTGTAAACCATAAGAATATTTAAATTGCTAACAGCAACAAATGTAGGACAGTTTTCAATACTGGGTCTAAATAAATCCTCCTCCTTGTCATGTTTGTCTTGGCTGCTGGGAATCTGCAAATATCTGAATCATACTAGTTTTAACCCTCAAACCACTAGGGGCCCAAATGGAATTAACACCCACAGGCGCAACAAAAAAAGAAATAAAAAAAAAATTCTTTAGTCGTATAGAAGTGTTCATTTTTGTTCCCTGATCACGGAAAAAATAACAAAAATCGTAGGTGGCATATTTTAGCTGCAATAGGGTAGGGAAGTGTGGCAAAAAAGGGGCGTTGGCAGAGCCTTCGCCAGACAAGGTCTACTCCGCCAGAGCTGTCAGACGGCAGTTGCCACAAATATATTATTACCTAATTATTTCAATGTCTGATTTTTTCTTAGTTTTTTGCAGTAGTATTGTTCCATACAGTGAACTGTGGTATATTTATATAATGTGTGAAACATCGCTGTACTCAAAATTACGGTGTGCATATTAGTTATTCAATTATGTTCATAAAACAATAAACAAATAGTTTTGCTGTTACAATATATACACAGGTTGTATATAAGTATCTGCATGTTTTCTTCACCATAACGAACTACTAAGTTGGTCTTGAGTCAAAAAGCAACGAGGAGTGACTGCCACATACCAGCCAGCCACTCACTGCCACTCCCTTCCTAAACACCTCACTCACCCTCATTCTCCTCCCACAATACTGTTTTTGCATTTATTCACTATACACAGATGTTATATATACGTATTTACATGTTTTGTTCACCATAACTGTACATCTAAGCTTGTATGGTGAGTAAAGGCACAAAGTAGCTATTCACAGTCAGCTGGTGACGGCCGCCCTCAAGGCCAGACGCACTAATTTCTCCTCCAACAATATTGTTTGTGGTGTTATTACGCTATATGCACACACTATATATAAGTATCTACCTGTTTTATTCACCATACCTGTACAAGTAAACTGGTATGGTGCCCAAAGACAATAGTGGCCACCAGTAAACATGACAAGTCGAGCAGACGACGCATCTCCCTCACCAAAATGGCGGCACCCAACCTCCTACTCTCGCTGTTTATACCCTCTATACACATGTTATATATAAATATCTACATTTGTGTTCACCATAGCGAACCACTAAGCTGGTATGGTGAGTGCAGTCAATAAAAGGTGGCCACACAGTCGGAAGACGACGCAACAACCCTCATTCCCACAGCCTTACTCCTCCCTCCATGGAGCACAGCGCTATCACCAGAATCCTGCTATTATCAGAGTCCTGGTCAGTTTTATCACTGTCAGGGGTCTTCTATAATATTATCATCGCTGAATAATAGCAGTACAGTATCATATATATTATGGCATTTGTAGGCGATGTTGTGGTCAAAAGCTGAACAGCGGTGCTGTGAGCTCGTGTTGTGTGCGTCAGCCTTAGTGGCTTGCTCATTACTGACGCTCTAACACCCAAGAATGTTGGCCTGGATTTTTTTTCTAGGGGGCATCTGGCAACTATTGGTCATGGCTGAACTACAGCTGCCCCTATCCCAGGCGGGGCGTTTAAATTATAGCGCTAGACACGAAAGCGCATATAAATGATGTGCGCGGTTTCAGTTTTGTCACCGATATATGTGATATGTGCCCTTTAAGGGTTTATCTAATCTGAAAAATAATTGGCCTTAATTAGCCTATTGGTCTAGCAAGGTAATTTGGTGCATCATCAAAGGCTTAGAATGCCATGTGTGTTAAATATTAGTGCTAAAGGTGTCAAGTTCTGTATTGATCAGGTTTTCTCTTCCAGACAAGAAAAGGACAATCCTGAAATGACCAAGAAGGTAGCACAAGTGTTCTTGACACTTGGAGAAGTTGGCCTAGAAAGTGAAAACTATGCTCAAGGTATTGAAGACTTCAAACAGTGCCTAGAGATCCAAGTAAGCAGTGTACAGTGTTTAAAGTAGATTATATAAAATGCTGAATTACTCTAGTAAACCTTGTCAATTAAAATATTAGCCATAATGGCTTTCAGCTATGAAAATTACTGTATTTCCTGGTTAGGTGAATTGGCGAGTCATAGAGCTGACAAACCCTTTTGGCAGTTTATAGTACTATTATTTTCTCAAAATAAGTACCTTAGGTTTTTAGTGTAGCTGGCAGTGATTTGTAAAAGATGGTGGGTAGTTAATGTAGTGGCAAGGTAAGACATGCCTTGTCAGTATGTTTTCAGGTATAGTAGTCAGTAACTAAGCACCACCACCACTGCTGCAACTAAATATGCATGAACAATTTAGGTTTCTTGAATTGTGCATGTATGTAATTGTTGGTGACTTCAGTATGGCATTCTAGTTCTCCTAATGTTGTTTAGGATTGCATTAGGTTGTTACCTTTTCTAATTTGTCTTTAGTCATTGAGTGTCAATGGTGTGAATTAGGCTTGCATGATGTCTATTTGAAGGTGGTAGTATTATGTTCTTATAAGCATGACTTGTAAAGGCATGCATTGTGTGTCCTGATTGTGCCACATGTTTGTCTAACCAAATAGGACAGACTGTGTACAAAGTGTCACTTGTCAGTGGTGCTGTTGAAATCACTAAAACCAGAGAATCACTTGTGTTCCTGGAAATGTGTTGATGCTAAAATGATATAATTATGACGAACGAGTCCTGTCTGATGTACAACTTGACTGAACCTGTGCCGCTTCTTGAGTATTGTTTGGAAGGTACACAATCCTTGAACATTGACATGTTAATATGGCAGTATTGTTCATGGCAGTCTGTACTGTCTCTCTAGTGCCTCATTTTCCAGTTTGTTGCATTTCTTAGCAGTCATTCTACTTGGTAGCATGGAATAAATGAAAAATATTCATTGAGCTAGATTACTGACAAGCACAGTGATATAGATGGGGGGAAGTGGAAACGTTCCAGGACCCCAATGGAAATATGTTTACTTTTGGGATATAAGATGCTGTATATTAACCTTCTTATTTATTTTTAAATGAAAGATAGGTGATGCACAAACTGCAAGAGTGTCTTCTAAGTTAGGTCACTGTTGACGTTTGTTGGAGCAATATCTAGATATTCTTGTAGTCTGAGAGAAAATTACTTGCTGGAAGCGACTAAAAATATGTACAATACACAAAGTAAACATGATTGCAGGATTTGAGTATTTAACCTAAATTGTGATGTATTATCTAGTGAAATGTAACAGTGTAACTTTTTTGTCAATGTTCAATATCTGTTGATCATGTGATTGAAGTGCCATCATGAGCATTCCATGTCGTATCACGGCTCAACCCAACTATCCCAGATGTACATGAAATTTGGTTAGGTGTTGGAGTATGCTAAGTAACATTTGCAAAACTTTATTAGTGATGCATGATATTCGTACTGCAGGGCGGGGGGGGGGGGGCAAGAGTAGGAAAAAAATTTGCTTGAAAGCTCAAATGCATAACTTTGAATTTAGTTTTAAACAAAATATAGTATTGAATTTAAATTTAAACGTCATATGTGGCTTTTGACCTAGAATATAGACAACCACGTGCTTTGCAAACCCCTGGGGGATAAGACCATCGGTTACCATGTTAGTTCATAAATGTGGAATGTAAATCTATGGGAAAAATTACAGGATCATGGCATAAAACTGGCGTTGAATGTAATGAAACACCATTTTCTGGACGAAACCCGGTTGCTTCCAGGAGCTATACCTGGCTGATGTGCATGTATTAGACTGCTGAACTAGCAAATAGGACTTTGCAATAAAAAAAAAATAAACGATCATGTCACCACAGCTGCCAGCCCGCTGTTTGCGGAGAAGGAAGAGGGGGGGGGGGGGTCCCAGACCTCCCATGCCAGCTAGCCAACCCCAGTTCAAAAACTGACTGTAAATAAAAAATGCAGAAAAAAGTTGACTATGGAGCCTCGATCTCGCCCAGGAAATGGCGTTTCATTACATTCATAGTTGTTGTGGAGAGCCCCTGTGGCTCCTCGGAGCTACCTAACCAAAGATAAAGGAAGAGGGACTTGTTCGGGAAGCGGCCGCCACTCGCGCCTCAAATCCGAAGACAACTGACTGCAACCTGCAACCCAAGGCTACATGTGCCTGAGAAGGGCCAGGAAAATGAACGAGATACCGTGAAGCCAGGTCCCTGTATAACCTCCAAAAGCCTTGTGCCTGAATGTTAAACCGGGACACGATTGTCAAAAACAGCAGCCAAAGCCACAAACTTACGAATGTCGTGGGCATGGGGATAGATTGCAGGCTGGCTGGACAGAATAATCTGGACGGCCTGACAGACCTGCACCCTGGAACAGGGGAAGGGGAAACCGGGTCAAAAAACGTCCTCTACCACGGCAGCCGTTGTGCGCAAGTAACGGTGAAGAGTTGCAACCGGACACAAATCATATTGCACCCCCCCCCCCTGGCCGACCATCAACAACCCAATGACCCTTCCGGGAAGCGGCAGTCTCGTTCCTCACCAGAAAGTGCTGCAGTTGGACAAAACTATTACCATGACCGAAAAAGCAAAAACTCCTGCGCCGGAGGATAGCATGAAACTCCCAGACTTGACCCCCATAGGCCAATGTCAGCAAGTCTTGGAAAAAGTCCTGAACAGAAGGGGCCACCACAGAGAAGAGAGCACACAGTCTAAAGGCAATGCCATCTCGAGGAGCGCATGAGCAGGCTGAAGGTGAAACAATGCCAGAGAAAGCTTGTCTACTGGAACGAAAGTGACATCCACCCCTGAACGCAAGCAAAAGTGGCTGTCAGTGCCGCACGATACGAAGTGACAGTATTTGGCATAGAATGGTCCTGAAGCAGAGGAAAAAGCCCGATATGAAATCAAAAACATGTGACGGTGAGACACTGGAAAGGTATAAATAATTATGAGCATACAAAATTAAAATATTTGTTAAAATTCCAGTTATTGCTCTATTATGGGAAGTTTTAAAATTCGCGCCTTTGTATTGCGAACAATTTGATACCAAAATGAAAGACGTAACACGAAAATTGATGTTATCAAACTGAACGAGTGTGCAAATTGGTGCTCGTTCATGGGTCACTTTAGGCTTTGCTGCGGGGAGTCGCACTGGGCTTTTCGACATTATATGCATATACACCTGTAGGGAATTATATTGTGGACACAATGATACCTAAATGAACAACGTAGCAAGAGAATTAAGGCGAGAAAACTGAAACTAGTATACACATTTCGTGCAGGCGAGCACGAGGCGACACTGTTCGCCCTTACACCGGGGGGTGTGACTTCGAAGTTGGCGGCGCGAAAGTGTTAACACTCGCTCTTTGGGCACAGATCATGCCCATTTTTTTTTTTATCTAGTCCTAGCTGTGGACAGGACTCGCGCCCGCTACAAAAATATTTGTATAAAATTCATTTTTTATCCGATCGACCTCGGGATAATTTAAAAATAAGCGCCTTTAGAATGTGCGCAATTTGATACCAAAATGAAAGACGTAACGAAACTGTCTTGAAACACTTGAAAGATTATAAATGTTTTTGGGTCTAAATTTTACATTTTTAAAGTTTGTTAAAATTCTAATTATTGTTATTATGGGACTAGTTTTAAAATGTGCGCATTTATATTGCGAACAATTTGATACCAAAACGAGCGATGTAACATGAAAATTGATGTTATCAAACTGAACGAGTATACACATTAGGTTGTGGTGTGCGAATTGGTGCTCGTTCACTGGTAATTTTAGGCTTGCTATGGGGAGTCTCGCCAGGCTTTTGGACATTATATGCATATACATCTGCAGGGAATTTAATTGCGAACACAATGATACCAAATTGAACGATGTAGCACGAGAATTAAGGTGAGAAGACTGAAACGAGTATACACATTTAGGCGTCGCCGCACGCTTTTCCGCACCATTAGCCCCATGTCAGTCTGCGGCGCGATAGTGTTAACATGTTGAAACTGTAACATACGAAAAACTGTAGCCCAGTCAGTATATGTTACCACAAAGATGATATGCTGGGAGATGAACACAAGCAGGTAGATACCTGCTCTTACATTGCCGAATTTACATACTAAACTAATATATGTAACCACAGAGCAGCAACTGTACTGAAACTTGGAACAATTGCAGCCTTTTTCATATAAAAGTAGTCAAAAAAAATTGGTTGACATTGAACAAAGTTTAAAAAACTAAGACCCCCTTAAATAAGTCATTACATCCACTAAGGCCAATGGAAACTGTATGAGGAAAGGATCCTGTTGGGGATGCCATTAATATTATGATCTCTTCTGTAACCGGGTTCTTTTAAACTGATCCTTCTCAAGTCGAGAGATCCCTACCCTTGGTGGAAATGCAGTATAATGTTTAAGGTAAGATATGAAATTGCACTTTAAAATATTATCTAAAACTACTGCTATATACAACCCTGTGACGAGGTCTTCAGCGTAACTCCCTCACAGGTAGTACTGGTGACGTCTTTAAATGCTCCACTAGCCCACTCGGTAGCAGGGTCGTACAGTGAGGTCTTCCAGCGCTCCACTAGCCCTCTGGCTAGTACTCTCAGAGGCGTCCTAAGTTCGACCTGTGTACTGCTTCACTCTTTTGACCTGGTTTTGGAGCAAATTCTATTGGTGGCTGTTCCTGTATATTTATATATAAAAAATATTTCTACCCCTTTGGAGGCTACAACAATCTGTAATATGTAGTTTTCCTATTAATGTACTGCTGAAGCTTTTATGGTACAGTGTGTTCAGGTTCACGGTGCCAGGTTTAATTGGACTACTTAGAGGTTTTGTCCTTCATAATTTGACATTTGTTGCAAGTAAAGCATATTTACTTTGCCACCCTTTGTGATTGGCTTCATTGCTGTCATTACTGTTTGCTTCTCAATTGGTGGATAGAACACTGCCTGCAGTAACTGCATTCTGTCGGCCTTTGATATTTTGGCTACAATTTACCTCTTGAGGCACCCTCTGCTGGCACTTGTTTTTCTCCCTCTCTGGACAAGTTAGGTCTGGTGCACCTTGACTCCAGCACAGAATGGGGTGCCAGTTTCCTCTTTAGGGTGATAACTTTCCACCGTTTAACTAGGTTTAGTGGCAAAGGGGCTTTTGTCACTTGTGATAACCTCCAGTGGTGGTATGGTTGGGATAGTCTTGAACGGTTTCTATCCACCGATATTGGAGCGAGTTGTATGTATCGCACTACTCAGACCAGGTGCTAACCCCTGTCAAGTTTTAAATTTTCCTGAAGGGTTCTTGCTGTTTGTGGAGTGCACTCTTGCATAATCCAGTAAAGCAGTCTGGGAAGTGACCATTCAAACGTCAGTTTTAATGCAACAAACAATATGGGCTCCCTTACAAAACAAACATTTTGGCATTGTAACAAGTTAATACACTGAAAATTTTTAAAGTAAATTTAAGTCAACATTTTGTATGCATTGCACTGAAATATCGTAAATGAATCTGTTGGCATTTATTCAGATAATGTAAACTTTTGTCCCTCAAAATTTGCATAACTATTTTAAGAAGGCATACCTTAAATGTAGGCATCAATTGTATAATTTATGAAGTGTAGTTCTACCACAAGTTATTTAACGGATGCCTACATTTTGGTTGCATCTTAAATGTGTAGATTTATGCACATTTTAGGGTGCAGAATTTTTAACACTGGACATAATTAAGAAATACTAATATATAGATTAGATTGTAATAGTTAAATGAGATATTGAAAATGTTCAAATTTTCAGGTTAATTTTGAAAATTGTGGTAATCGGCTAAGATGCTGAAATGTTTTGCTAAGGAGTCCTTATTTGTTACATTAACATTAAATTTGAATGGTAATTTGTCAGATTGCTGTATTGTGGCCTCACCTAGTGATTGTTCCCAGGATTTGATCAACTAAATAATTTACCTGCTCAAGCTATTTTTTTTTTTTAACTGGGTTTTTAAATAGTTCTTTAATGTGGGCTAACCTACTGTAATTAAATTTAAACCTTCATTTTTTCTTTCTCAAATTAATATAGTGTAACCTCAATCTGTCCCAACCCAGATGGGCTGGGGTTTAAGAGAACCTTGGTGTTTTACCACTTTGCTTTTAACCCAAGGAAACAATCTCAAAGGGCCATTTGGGATATGCACAGAGTAGCTACTGAAGGTCATCCCAGAAATAAAGCATTGAATGAAGTCATTCTGGTGGCTTGAGCTATCTGTACCTGGCCGCCTTACCCCACGAGTGGCAGTCTGGGGGCGGCACGCGAGACGAGCAGGTAGGTTGAACTCCTCGGTGACCTGATCTGCTTGTGGTGGGCTTGGATGCTAGTGCATGATTTGCCATTGGGCGAACTATAGCTTTTCTAGTTGTTCCTATTAAAGGTAGTCGTGCTTTTCCCATTTTCTGGGAATGTTAATAGTTCAGAAATTGGGCATGGTTTCTGATGGCCTTGAAAGGGCACTTTCTTGTATTAAACAAGATTGCCAGTGTAATTTAAAATGGCCAGGGTAGCTCTATCCACCTCTGCATGTAGGATTGAAAAGTGATATCCTTTGTTTCAAAGTGACGCTCATTAATTTCCCTCTGCTTTGTTAGAGTACACCATTACTCGTAATTTTGACAACTCCATGAGCACAATGCACTGAAAATGGAGTCGTCATTTATCTTCCATGATACACCGTGAGATGGTAAGAATGCTAGAAGTGTGCAGTCATTCTACCAAAGAACTAAAAGGGATGGCTATTGGGAATTGAATCTCATTGAAGCAGTTAGGGAAAAACACGATTATCATGTATAAAATTCTTTTGGATTTGGTATGCAGACTAGGACAATATGTACATACTATTAGACAATGATTAAACAGTATGCAAATGAGGCACATTATTAACATTTTAGTGGAAAGGGGAAGAAACGGAATGCATTGTGGTGGCTGCAGACTAATTTCAAATGTTTGACTCAGTAGGATGAACTTTTACACCAGTAGATTAAAAGTTAGCTCCAGTCAGTCTACTAAATTCCCCAGCTAGCAAAGTTGGTGAAATTGAGTACAGTGCTACCTTGCTTTGGTAAATAGTGTTACGTTGCATACCTGACTTGCCTGCTTAGCCAAATAAGTGTTCATGAAGGAATGTTTGAGGGGCATTTGCTTAGGATTCAAGGCCAGACTGCAGTCCTGTGGGAAGTTGATGGGCCTGGTTCATTTACAACATTTGAGGGACTTGGCACTAGTTCATTCCCTTCCCCGCTCCCCCTTCCCCTCCCCATTCTGTATCCTTAAATACCGGCAACAAGGGTGAAAAATGAAATTGGTGGTATTGGTCAGGGGCATGAAGGAGCAAGTAATTGTCATGAATTTGGCAAGGAAAGCTTTACAGGCAGGCTCTTATATCTTGGAGCAATGTCAGCACTTGTAAGAATTGCTTCTTGGGAATAATTAGAGGTTGCTACAAGCTTTTGACATGTGCCATGTAGATTATTTGGGTTCATAAAAACTGAATTGAGGACAATATTGTAGCAATTTTTTTCTAAATGGTTTGTTCATGGTTAAAATAATTTGTTGCATGTGATTCCTTTTAAGCTTACCTTCTGCAAAGAATATTAATTGGTTTCTTTGCAGTTGAGGGAAATGTTAACACTTTCGAGCGCTCACGGCGCTCGAGAGCGTTACCAATTTTTCTTGAGGCCACGTAACAGACTCGCTCACAAGCCACAAATATTTCTATAAAATCCATTTTTTATCCAATGACTTTGGGGATAGTTTAAGAAATGTGCGCCATGAAATTTCCGTCTTCCCTAATAGCTACATGGCCTATTTGGGAGAACAGCATGGTATTGCATCACGTGGCAAGACCAGTGTATTGTTGACACGACGAGTGTAATAGACGTAGTTTTTTATTTGGTGCCGGTCTAACGCATCCTTGTGACATTTTATACTTAGGTTTTTCTAGAAGATTCTATTGCGAACACATGCTACAGAAATAAAATGCGTACATCAAAAATTAAGGTCAGAACAGTGAAAAGAGTATACACTTTTTAATAGGGGGTTTCACCAATGTGCCATAAAGTGCAGTAACGGGTAACACTTCGGCCACTTCCCACACTCTTGCGGGTGGGCCGCGATCACAATTCTACATTTATGTGCATATGTACTCGTAGAGAATTTTATTGCGATCTCTGTGATACCAAATTTAACGCTGTAGGACAAGTGTGGAGTTGACAACACTGAAAAGGTGTAGAAACATTTTGTCGGTGTTTGACGCTCATGGCTAGTGATTGACTTAGTTCTTTATTTGGTGCTGGTATAACTCATGCTTTGGTGATATTTTATATGCATGTTCTTCTAGAACATTCCATTGTGAACACACTGCTACAAAAATGAAATCCATACATCGAAAATTAAGGTCAGGACAGTGAAAAAAGTATGCACCTTTTCGGTGTTGCTGCTTGATCGCCCGAAACGCCGCACGCACAAGGGGCAAGTTTTTTTTTCATTCGCCGGGCGCTCGAAAGTGTTAACATATGGAGGTTTGATTACATTTGTTTTTAAATTGTCTTGCTTAATTATATTGATTGTTCAGGATACAAAGTCTCTAATAAGGAGGAGAATAGTTATTGACATCTGTTTTACTTTCTAATGAAAACTTAATTGTTGCTTGATGCATGAGTGCTTACTGAATTCATCCTTATGTTAGCAGTTATTGCTTTAATTTTTAATGGAAGTATTTTGTTTGGAGGGTTCTGTTAAATTTCACCAAAGTGTTGGCATTTTGAACTTGTGAGGAACTGTTGGTGCAGTCGTCATGACTGTGGTGGTGCTTTAAATAACAGGACAAACTGGCATTGTAGTCGTGTGGTCTTGTCAATATTTGTTAATCTGTCTTTTGCCAAGTGTTCACGCCTTTCTTAATGTGAGAAACTGCATAAACTATACTTTCCTATTCCATATGTTGATTCCCCTCCCCCCTCTCCCTCCACATCCTCTGTTTATTCATTTGAATGTATTTAGCTTTTGTGATGTAGACTTTAAAGGTGTCGGAGATACCTCTACTCATCTTCAGTTGCAGATGTCAGTGGCTGTTTAATTTCTTTTGGATTTTCACCTAATACAATAAGAATTTGAATGTTAGGGGAGGAAAAAAGATTTGGTTCAGTTTAATAAGTGGCCAATGGTTTAGTTTCAGCATTGATGATTCACTTGAAAATCTTCTATGGTTGTAAGCCAAGTGCCAATCTTTGTGGGCACCATCCCCTCCCGGAGCGCTCTCATTGCTACTGCACCCCACCTCCTTCCCCACCTACTCCTGGCCTGCCCACCACTTGCCTAGAACCCTATATTTCCTGCCTGGAGCAAGTCTCATTTTATTGCATTTTTAACTAATCTGGTACATTAAATGTTTTTCAGGAAAAAAATCTAGAAAAGGACGATAGATGCTTAGCAGAGACGCACTACCATCTTGGCGTGGCCTTTTCATTCTCTGATGATTTTGACAAGGCTGTAGAACACTTTCAGGCAGCGGTAAATGTGATAGAATTGAGGATCAGCAATCTTAACAAACGGATGAAAGAGAAAGAGACTTGGACAGAAGAGCAAAAAAAGAAAGATGGTGAGCTAATGTCCTGAGGTTTTAATGACTTTCAACTTGGTCACAATTAAATGGTTTGTAAAGATCTGATCAATACAGTAATAACGGGATAAATTTCATATTGACATTTCATTAGCAATGTCCACACATGGTATGTTCAACATTTATTTCATGTTTTTTTGTAATTATACTCCAGTGCCATTAATACCATTTATCAGCCTTGATCATAGCTCTTATTCCCAGCCTAAGCAACATATTAGCTACTAAGACCAGGTCTGAAGTACAGTACTGAACTAAGAATTGTGTAAAAGCCAATTCTTGCATTTTTTGTGGTTAGCATATCATAATGACTTGAACACGATTGCAGTAGTTTATATCAGTGTTTGTGGGTGTGAAGAAAATGTTATGTAGACCAGTAATAGTTGAAAATGTATTTTCCTTCAAGCTGAAGTGAGACCAGATCCTTTCTACACTGAACAAGGCGAGATTGATGAACTAGAGAAGCTGCTGCCAGAAATAAGGGAGAAGATCGTTGACATGGAAGAAATGAAGAAAGACACAAAGGAAAAAATGCAGAAAGCTGCTAAGGTTGGTAAATTACATAAGCTTAAATTGCTTTAGGGATTATCAGGTATATTAGAAGAGGGATCTAAAGCAAGATAGGAAAGTATCACTTACTGGGAGTGAACACGTAAGAGGGGCTAGATTTGGTTTCACTTCTTTCATTGAAGTTTTATAACATTCTGTAGTTTTCTACATGGTTGGCCCTACATGGTCAAGAATACAGTAGATTAGTGCAAATTATGTTCTCCATTTGCTTAGTAATGGTTGCAAAATTGCAACTGGTTTCCTGTAGAGTAGATAGTGCCAAATAGTTGTAATAGCTCGTTGCTATCTCCTGACGATTCCCACCCTCCCCCATCTTACTATGGGCACTCGGCATCATCACCTGAGTTCACTCAAATGTGCATAATTCCTTCCCAATATTGTATATTCCAGGATTTGTTTTGTCCTGCTAAGTAGACAAAATATGTCATGTTAACTACACATCCTGATTTATTCATCAATAAAGGCCTAATTGTGGATACCTTTGTCACACTTCCCCCCCCCCCCAGTACTGATGTCATTGCAGCTCCTCAGGAACTGCTAACTGCTTGGTTCATTATCATGTGAGATCCCTGTTTGACTCAAAAAACAAAAACAAAAAAAAACAAAAAAAAAAAAACACCTGTTAAATGGCAGCATTGGAACAGTTATTCTCTTGCACCATGTTGTGACTGGTGGTAGGGAGCTTAAACTGCCACGAAGATGTTAAATATATCCTTGAGGCCCAAGGCTATTCTGTCTTCCAGATTAACATGCACACTTGACCCTCTTTGATGTCAGCCAGCCTCTGCGTAGCTAAAATTCCTTTTTGGTAGGTCCCTTCCATCTTCCGTAATTCATGCAGGTGCCAGATGTTCTGTTCAGGAGCACACCCCCTCTCCTCGCCACTGCTTCTTTCTTTTTCTCTTTTTTTTTCTTTCTTTTTCTTTTTCTCTCTTTTAAGATGCTGCCCTTGAGGTGCGCTCCCTCCGATTCCCTTACCGCCCATCTCTGATGCCTCCTCCCACTCTGGACACTATCAGTCTGCCTCTGATCCATCCTGCAGCTCCCTTGACTCCGTCGTCCTTGATAGATTTACCTATGCCGCATAGCACTGATTTCACTGGCTGTTCTTATTTTGTATACTGTTCCTTGCCTTTTTCTCCCTTAACTCTGTGTGCTCTTGCAGTCTTTTCAATGGCATGATGTGGTTTTTATGCCAACTACCAATTCAATCTACCAATTTTCCCAAGAGCGCCTAAAGTCACAACCTCGCCATCCGAAGTCTAGCCGAACAGTGAGCCGGTCTGCCTCGGTGCTGCCAATGACGTCCCATAAAGCTCGTCACTGATTGGCAGAACCCCCTCCAGTCATCTCATATGCTTGAGGCTTGTTGCTACATTCCACAAGTTTCTGGATGTCACTTCCCGCCCGGGTGCCATTTTGTTTCGCAGTTGGCCACAATTTACCCCTTTACTGCCAAGCATTACACAGGATTATGGGTTATCTTGCATAATTTGCAAGGTGGGTAAATGAGACTCGAGGCTGGAAAGGACTGTCATTAGATCATAACTATGTACTATGGTCCTTGTCCTTCCTATAAGTACAGTACTACCAAAACAAAAGGATGGGCTACATGTTTTGAATATCCGGGGACCTGGTTGAATATTAAGATGTGAACTTTCTAGGGCACAAATATCAGAGCATCCTAGGGCATAGCTTAGACCATGCTGCTGTTGCTTATTGCAACCAAAGGAGTAAATGGTAATTTTTTTTCCAAATGGGTTTTTTATTTAGAATTGTCAAAACATTGGTAGTTAGCAATGTGCTTGTCTTGCATGGGTTATTTAATGTTGAACTTGTGCTGGCAAAGTGGTCATGTAGTTTTAAGGTAATGTTATATTTTGGGCAATTGTGGTAGTAATTGTGAACAATTATAGCTTTTTGTTCTATTGTACGTTGTCTGAAAGTTGCCTTTATTTAAACTCCTTAACTCTTGCCAACAGTCAACTGATGCTGTGGTAAGTATGCTTTGGCATTTGTCACTTCAACACGAGTATTAGGAGTCCCTAGGAAAAAAAAATTAGTATAATGGAAAGTTTAGTATATCTGACAGGCTGGATAGTACTTCCTTATCATTTGATGGTATGATAGTACAAGAAAGGTCTGTACAGTTGCCCTTGTTATTGCACTTCAGTTAATCATTTTGGCTTCAGGAGAGCAAAGGTAAAGGAATGTCTTTGTGCTTTATTATATTTTTATAAATTATTGAAAGTAGCTGTCCAGTGATCTTACCCATATGAGAAGTGGGAGGTTCTCCCTAGCCTACCCCTTCATTCCTGTCACCCTGTCTAAAAGTGGTCAGTTGACATGTTTGACTTGCTTTGATTCAGTTGAGAAGCGAGACCAAAGAGCCAAAGCTCGACTGCTATAAGCACAACTAGGCAAGTATTTTGTATGCATTCTAGTTTGAAATTGTTCAGGTCTACTTGGTGGTTGGTTGTCATTACCTCGACCTTATTGCAATTGATAGGCCACAGTGTTATGGCCTATCTTAATTCATATAGGTTTACCAAAGGACAGTCTGACTAGGTGAAATTTTTCTGGTACAAAAATTAGAGAATTGCTCTGCATTAAATTAAGATTTGACACAATTCTCGGGCCTAACAAACTATATATTAATCTTGTACCAAAGTCTGACCATGTAGCATAATTGCCAACAAATATTTTGGCTAAAGTTTAAATTGTAAGGCCATAATTTGTAAATTGTTGGTTAAATTCCCCATTTATCTCTAAAACCTGTGAAAGCACTTAGAAGTGGGTGTAAAAATGTCAATTTGGGGAACTAGTGGATCTTAATTTAATTATGACATTCTAGATGTTGGTGGATTTGTCCAAAATTTTAAGTGCATGTAAGACATGAACTCCTATTCATTGATTTGTGAAGTATTTCTGGGCAGAGTTAACACTTTCACGCTCTCGGCGTTCAAAAAAAAAGCATACCCTAGATGCTTTCGGCGCTTTGCGCGCCTACGCGGTAAGACCGAAAAAGTGTACACTCTTTTGACTGTCCTGATAATAATTGAAGGCGCACGTATTTAAATTTGGTATCACTGTGTTCGCAATAAAATTGTCTATAAGAACATATCTATAAAATGCCGCCAAACCATAAGGATTATCAACACCAAATAAAAAACTATTCAGATCACTAGCCGAGAGTGCCAAACAGCAACAAAATGTTTCCACTCTCTTAATGGTTGCGAAGCCTACAGTTGTCCTACATCGCTAATTGTGGTATCATTGGAATCGCAATAATTCTCTACACGGACATATGCATATACATATAGATTCAATGTCGTAGCCCACCCAAAACAGTGTGGGAAGTGGCGGAAGTGTTACCCGCGGCGGCATATCGGCGAAACTCGCTTTGAAAAGTGTATATTCAATTCACTGTCCTGACTTTATTTGTTGATGTATGTATTTCATTTTTGTACCAATGTGCTCGCAATAGAATGTTCTATAAGAACATAAGTATTAAAGGTCACATAAGGATGCGTTTGACCGGCAACATATATAAAAACTACGTCGATTACACTCGTCGTGTCAATAATACAATTGTTTTACCACGATGATTCACTGCCACGCCGTTTTCTTTTATAAGCTGTTCGGCTATTAGAGAACGTAAATTTCATGGCAAACATTTGTAAACTATTCCGAAGTTGATCGGATAATAAATGGATTTTATACAAATATTTTTGCTCGTGACTCCCGCGAGGGACACGAGTGCGGTGTGTTTAACAATATTGGTGCCGACGACAGTCTGCTGGAAAGCGCCAAAGTGTTAATTACATGCATGAAAGGTTTACCCCAACAGCTAGTCACATTAGAGATGTTTTTAACATTGTGCATTTCAAGGAAAATAGTGTTAATGGGAGACTTGATTAAAACACAAGTGCTTCATAAAGTTGGATTGGGTTTAGTAGTCACTGCATTCTTGGATAGTGTGATTGAGCAGCTAGTAGAGGCATGGGTCTTTAAGCAAGCACAGGGAGTCAAACTTAAATTTTAGTTCAAATGGGTGGTTGGGATAGAACTGGGAGGATGGAAGTAGTCTAGCCTTGCATGGTGGGAGAAGTTTGGAGTAAGCTTAATAGCAAATCTTAATTATAGGCGGCATTCATGGCTCAAACAATTGGAGGCCGAGCTCCAGCATGGGAAGAATCTGGCTCACAAGGAGGATTTGATGCTCCAAGTTCGAGTTCGTCAAAGTCTGAAGCAAAGTCCATTACACATCTTGTTAGAAAGAAGGTATGTGTTGATTGCACTCGATTCAGTTTGGTTGACATTAGGTTTGAGAATGCCAGGTAAATGTAAGTTTGCATTATTTTGACAGTAATTTATAGTATCAAAACTGCACAAGTACAGTAGTGCATTCTTTTACTTTCACATTATCACGGCTAAATTGGCTTGCCCTATTGTAATAGGTGAAATACTTAAATTTTCATATGAAAACTTAAGATATTAAATTATTTAAAGTAACCACAATTGGTTACAATTTACTTTATAATGTAGAAAATTAGATTTATTTTTTTAAGTTTTAAAGGACAAGGGTAAATGTTTCCTGGCTAGAAAGTGATTCGGTGAACCAATCGCTCTAAAGAGGAAGGATTTGGCATGCAAATGCCAATTTAATATTGAATGTTTAGGTAAAGTGCATCACTGTAAAAGATGTGTGGAATTATGGAGTAAATGTTTAGTCATGACCTGTTAATCCTATTGGATAGTTTGGGTTGCTACTTATTTGGTAATGTCGGAAGCTTAAGCTTGTGTACTCTTCTTCTCAAGCAGAGGAAGTCAGAGGACGAAGCTACAGCGGAGGTGAAGAAAGCCAAAGTTGAGAATGGTGAAACAACAAACAGTAAAACCAAGAGTACAAACGGTCAGTCAGAGAACGTGGACATGGAAGAAAAGGCAAGCATTTTAATGAATAGGATCTGTTCTATGCTCTAGTACTTGAACTGTCATCAAATTCAACTCAAACCTTTTTTATAAGTGAATTTGTTTACACCAGTTAACTTATAATAGGTACCTTCCTATGTATTAAAATGTTAGTGGGTTTTTATTGGGTGTAGGTAACTTGGCATAGACAAAAGTGCATTAGAGGGTATGTGAATTTAAGATAATTGCCGTATGACTATTGGAGGCATTTTGACTGAAACCAGGCATCTTATATGCAGTGGTGTTAAACTTCCTCATAAGGGACTAAACATAAACTCTTAGTAGCATGTGCAGGCTAAAGTTAAATTATAAATATTTTGCAGGAATCCTCCAAAGGTCAGAGTGTGGAAGAATTAAAGAAAAAGGCTGCCGAGGATATGAAGAAAACTACGAAAGACATAACGAAGGAACACTCTAAAGCTACCACTTAAGTTAATTGCTATATCCCCCAACCACTGCCACTTGTGAATCTTTTGTTGATTTTACCATAGGAAGTAAAGTTTTAGCACTTGTGAATGTGTTTTTAGGATTTGCATATTTACATATTTATTAAAAATATTGAAGACTTGCTCCTATTTTTTTCCTTTTCAGTTTCAGGTGAAATAGGTCTTGGCAAAGTGACTTCAAATTCAAAGTGCATAGATTAAATTGCGTTGCTCTAAAATAGTGGAATGCTGAATATTCAGGAAAGTAATTGGAACATATTACAATATTAAACTGTTGCCAACTTGGGTACAATGTAAAGCCTGGCAAAAGAATTGTATTACTCTCAAAGGAAAGCCTCTAGTACAAAATATTTTTGTGGATAATTATTGAATTGAACAGGTGATGAATACTACACAGGCTTTGGGTGAGTAACCATAATATATAGCATAATATGATGTAAAAGGTGGAATTAAAGGGTTATTCTGGATTAACCCGTGGAGGTACATGCCCGTATGGATCTTGTTGAGGTCAACAGACCACCTGCTGGAGATGCTGCCCTTGGTGAGTGGGTGTCCAGGCTTGGGTGAAAGGGAGGTAGTGTTGGCACTAGTGAGTGCACCTGTTAACAAGAGAGAAGGGTGGGGTGCTTGATGCACCCCTTCCTGCACTGACTAGCGCTCACCCTCTTTAGCTGCTTGGAAATTTGCTATTACTTGGCTCGAGACTTTTTGACATTAATATAATACTCTATGGACAGAGTTGACTTCTTACCCAGGCTTGAGGTATGGGAAACCAACCCCCTTCAGAGTTGCCATGTGATGAAAGATTGGGCTCTAGCCTCTGTTAGGCCAAGACCAGGCATTGACTTACGAATGACCCTCCAGTTCCCGTCCACCTGTGGCAGGGATGAGCACCTCGTTACCTGGAGTGGCTCCAGCTGACAAATGTCCATCCAGGCCAGGAGCCATTCTTCCAGGTGTTGTAAGACGACCTGTAAGGTGGTCTACGCTCATTTCCTCTACTCAAAATGGGCTCTCGCTGTATTGCTACTGGCATGCTCTTGTCAGAAACGAGCTTAGTTCTCCTTCCCAGTGGGTAAGGCAACTTCAATCCATCCTTCACTCAACCTCCAACTGTCCCTACATCCCTCATCTCACTGGCAGAGTAAGCTGACCTCTTGATATTACAGTAGCTCCTAGATTACGTTAGCGTCCTTGATCCAGAGCTTGGTGCCATTTGACCACCTTCGCCTCGGAGTTCCTTCACCGCATCTTGCCGGACCCTGTCAGTTGGCCTATGCTCCTTCCCGCTGCACTCGATATAACGTATCACCACCGATACCTACACAAAGCAGGTTGTTACTACTTATGACTTGTACTTTAAGGTTACTTAATGCTGCCACCATCAACGTAAGTAGTTGACAGTGACCGGCGACGGATACCGGTCACAGGAGAGTTAACGCTGTGAGTTAAGGATATTGGGGGGAAGGGGGGTGAGAACACTGCCAGCTTCCACTATGAACAAAAAGTACAAATGGACACACCGGAAAGACTATCAGGATTTTTATATTGAACGTAATTAAATATTACTAAACAGTCTTTCTGGCGTGTCCATTTGTGCCTGTTGTGTATCTTCCCTATCAAGGCAATATAATTATCAACACTTGCGATGTTGGAACATAAGGGACTCGAGATACAGCAGTGATGAAGCTTCCATGTTGTTCGTCAGCCCCCCTTCCCCCGCGATGTCCAACATTACACCCAAGACTCCTATCTGGACCGAGACATAGAACACAACTCCTCTCCCTCCATTAATTGATAAAGATTAAGCCACCCAAGAGGCTTAATCTTGGGCATGCCTGAATAGGCTATTCATGGGCATGAATAGCCCCTAACACACACCCTCTCGTAACGAGCTTTTATACCCGTCTATCACCAATTTTCCGTTGAATGGGCGGATTTGAATCTGGTAACAAGGGATTACCTTTCAACTCTAGAAACTACTTGGAGGTGAGGTTTGTTTGACCTTGCCTCACCTCGCTGTGAATGTCTCGTAGGTCAGGTATTATCCCAAGTTGCTGTGAATGTCTCGTAGGTCAGGTATTATCCCAAGTTTACTAAAGTCACCTCAACTGTTACATCGACTCTGCTGTCTTTGCTAGATTTACTTATGCACCATTGCCTTGATTTCACTTATTACTACTGAGCGTCTACAATGTACAATGTTTTTTTCTCGACTATCTATTCAATGAAATATGCATGGCTTTTGTGCCAATTTCCATGAATTGTTATCTTCAGATCCAGGTTTTCACTTTGTGCTTGTCGATTGTTGGCACTCGTCCTGGTAACTTCTGCGGTTATGCTCATATCTTCCTCTCCATCTTTTGCTGGGACCCCTAACTCTACTGCACTTTTGGTCTGGAACTATATTCTGTTTGTCCCTCTACTTTTTCAGTCCCACATTCCTTCATCTGCCATCCATTTCCTTTATTTCCTTTCCTGGGAGCCGGTCGGCCAAGCGGACAGCACACTGGACTTGTGATCCTGTGGTCCCGGGGTCGATCCCGGGCGCCGGCGAGAAACAATGGGCAGAGTTTCTTTCCACCCTATGCCCCTGTTACCTAGCAGTTAAATAGGTACCTGGGTGTTAGTCAGCTGTCACGGGCTGCTTCCTGGGGGTGGAGGCCTGGTCGAGGACCGGGCCGCGGGGACACTAAAGCCCCGAAATCATCTCAAGATAACCTCAAGATATGGTATATGGTAGTCTGTTCCATTTGACCTCAAATATTCGGCTCTCTTCCTGATCAACACTTAAGACTTCTGGAGGCTGTGCTCTTTTTTAAGTGATTTTAAGTTGGCGTGCCCTCTTGGGCAATGAGCTGACAAATACCTGAGAAAGCCACCTAGAACTTCCGGTATCTTCTGAATTCCACAAAGCAGACTCGTGTTGACACACTCGCCCTTTCCTGTATATATATCTGCTGCTCTTGTATAGACTGAGGCTGTTGTTAGATTCAACTACTCGAAACAAGTTCCAAGTAGCACGGGCCATGCTGAGCCCGTAACTTACCTGGCACAGGAGCGGGATAAGTAGCGCGGACTGTACCTCATCACAATATACAAGTGTGTTTTCTGTAGGCAGTTTTCTAATTATACAATCTAATTATACATACGTTGCCCTCAGCTCTCCTATTTCATACATACTTTTTTCTTATGCAAGGGAGTAATTACTACATCTACATTACAATCCTCCCATGGTGGTGTGAATTTTCTCTTGGGCACAGCAATACACTCTGTAATAGCATCATACTTTTTTAACATTAGAACATAAGTTATTCATATACTCTTCATCATACACTGTTCACTACTTCCCACCTTTTGAACCAAGATACGAGCTGGATGGTGTTGAGATTGCGAAAGGGATCTGGGAGTTATGATTAGTAAGAATTTAAATCCAAAAGATCAATGCATGAATGTTCGTAATAATTCAAATAGGACACTGGGATTTATTAATCGAAGCGTTAGTAACAAGACGCCTGGTGTTCTGGGATAATGTCACCTGCTGTGAGACCACCATCCACAGCTGGACCCCACAGTCAACTGGAAGTGGGGGATAAGGAACTGGATCAAAATGAGACAGATCGCAACCTCAGCCTCCCTACCACCTCGCCCTTGGGTTGCTCCACTGTTCAAGCAGTGGTTGCCCTTCGTGACCGGTTGCAGGAACACCGGCAGCAGTCACAGCAGCAAACGGAGCGGCTGCAAGAGCAACTCCAACATGAGAAAAAAATCCACCAGCGATATTTCGATGGTCACGTGTATGAGGGGACTTGTAAGCAATGACTCCCAACCCTCCCCGTCCACCCATGAACCCTTTAAACATGTGTTCGCTTGCCTATCAGGGGAAACTTCTAGTGATCTTGAAATCTTGTGTAGTGGAGCCCTTCCACGCAGGTTAACTGCCAAAGTTGTGTTAAAGTATGTTCAAAACGACTCTATAGCTGGAAATGAGAGAGAAATTGTACTAGACCATTGGATGCAAATGTGTGACATTGGTAATAAACTAAGAAATGTTCCTGGACTTGTATCGTAGTGCAATAGATAATATGTATCTAGATAATATATATTAAGTGAACTAATAATATCAATATATAATGCTGACTTTAAATGCACAATTAAGTTATCCGTCCTAAGCTGGAACATTGCATCCCTCAATAAAAGTTCTCAGATTTACATCACAAAGTAACAACTGAACACATCGATATTGTATGTCTCCAGGAGTGCAGAGTTCCCGCAAGATCCTCACCCCCGAAATTGCCCTCATTTGTTTCTTACAACCTCAGATCCAGTAACTCTTGCATTCTATACATCAAACAATCCCTAACCCATCAACTTCTGCCAGAAAAACAAACTGCCGGTCAACAGTATCATGGAGCAACCTATGATCTATGTGGGCAACTCTGTTCTCAATGTATTTAATCTATATGCTCCAGCAGGAAAGTTAAATTATATTGATCTTCCAGCCTGCGCTCAAGCAGAGCCCACTATCGTTCTTGGTGACTACAATGCTAGACACAAGGACATTGGTGGCTCTCGCTTCAGTAACGGTAACGGGAATCGACTGCTGTCGCTACTAAATAGTCACCAAGATGTGCAGATCGTGGGTGACCTTGAACCCACGCATATTTGTGGAGGCATTCTAGACCTCTGTGTTGGTTTCAACGTCTCTCACGTCTGGTGCACATCATCTATTGTAACAGATATGTTGTCGGATCATCACCCTAGAATGACTACTCTAGTTTTAGCTTAGTTCATTTATTATACACCCCATACCCATATTGTGGGAGGTAGTGAAAAGGGTTAGAGGCACTACTCTGTTATCGGAAATACCATCCTGCCCGGTGGGTCTTTCAGACGCAAACGGCTCAGTGTTCCTCCTGCTCGACGTGAAGACTTTGTTGCTCATGTGTCAGAGTGGTACAGCACTTATGATCCCTCCACAGTCCAGACATTTAACGACGGTCTAGTACAGAGCATTCAGATGTTTGCTGACCCTTTAGGTCGGCCCCCTGCACCATCCAATAGTCGGAACGATATGAAAGGTAATAAACGCCATGCCTATTACAATGACCCGAAACTG